ACCTGGAGTACCTCCAGATCACCGTGAAGAAGAGAATTTTTTTCGGGCAAGAATATCAATCTTCTAGAATACATAAATTTTTCAATGAATACTATCAATTGAAATGAATGTAGATGTAGCGGTTAATAGTCTGTGTTGGCATTGAGAGACGTTAGGCCGGGTGACACCGAGCACTGGCAAAATACTTAGGGTTTACACTTGGTATTAGTGGTTGTTGCTCTCCGTCAGTGGGACAGTGAAAGGCGACCTAGACCAACTCTCCTACACCATTGGGGGGCCTTATGGGATACTTTACGTTTGTGTATGTCAGGATACAGTGTCTGACACCGTGTCTAATGCTAAACGATGCTCACTCTCTGTACTACGCAACGATTTCTGTCCTATTGTCCAACAGACAGTAGGTGGATGTGGTTTCACTCTCGAAAGAGCTTTCGATTATAACTGTTTCATAGACTCATTTTCACTCGTTTCCAAAGTCCAAGATACTCCATTGATATTTAACTTTCATCTGTGCTCAAATATTCAGCCAATTCTCTCGGTCGATTAATGATTTATTTTTTTAATTTTTATTTTGCAGGTTGACTGTTATAGGAAAAAGTTCAGTGGAGAGCCAGGAAAAATGGCCGGTGAAAATACACAGATCTTTGCCAATGGTACTGTTGATGCCATCATTCCACCGGAGAAATTGGCGAATGGTAATGGGGATGTGCATTGCAATAAACAGAATAATAATGGAACGATAACTAATGGCAAAGTTCTGGAGATAAGTCCTATTGAAAATGGGAAACTTATTGGGAATGGAGATGAGAAATCGAATAGTCTTCATACGGATTTCGATGAGGCTGATATTTCCTGTGGATGGGGCCCCTGCAGGCCCAGTTGGTTGCAATTGTTTGCAACTAAACAGGCTTTTTTGGTCACGTTCTGTCTTACTTGGGTGAGTACTTCATTATTTTTTTATCATGAATCAATTTTTTTAAGGGATGTTATGCACTTTTTTATCGAAAATTATCGTTTTTCATTGACAAGGAAAATTATTCAGAGAATTGGAAATTGTTAGGTCTGTGTTCGAATTGTGTAATTGTGATTATCAAAGCTATTATTCTTGATGTCGTGATTGTCGTGATCATCGAATATATTATATTGCGAGCGGAAGTCTGTAATTACAATAAATTTCGACTTCCTCGATGTGCACAGAGGATTAGAAATGGGAGTGTACGAGATGTCGTATCACCAATACTTGTACAATCTGATTACAATTACATCTGTTAAATTTACAATTGAACACAAAAATTTCTGTGACATTTGAAACTAGAGAACATTAAAATGAATTTGATATTCAATTTCCACGAAACCATTTTTAACTCTAAAAATTTGAGTTCTCATTGTAAAATGAATTGCACTAAAAAATAATTTCAGTAAAAAGTTTGAATTTAAAATTGAATGCGAACGCGTTAACAATTGTAATTGATATTTCGAGAAAATTGTAGTAGTTTAGATTAAAAAAATTATTTCAGGTATTGCAAGGGATGTACTACACGTACTTCGTGTCAGTGATAACGACGATAGAGAAGCTTTTTCAAATTCAATCGAAAACGACAGGAATCATAATGTCAGCGACTGAAATTGGACAAATTGGTTCATCACTTCTGCTGACATACTACGGAGGTCAGGGACACAGGCCCAAATGGATAGCCTGGGGCATGATCCTCTTCGCCCTGAGTTCTTTTACCTGCTCTATGCCCCACTTTATTTATGGTGAACAACTGATAAAACAAAATGAAATGCAATTCAGCGCTGTTGGTCGTGATGGTCAGGGTGGTGGACCCAATTTCACTGATCCCATTCCAGCAAATTTATGCAAATTCTACGATCGCGTCGACAACTTCACCCTCGCTTCCAACGGGTATGTTAATAGGATGTTTATGATTATTTTCTAGTTGATTGGAATGTCATGTTTCGTTATTTGTTGTGTCTATTTTTTTTTTCTCAACAAGGTCATACGGGAACCCGCATTCGATAATATTTTCTCTGAAACATGTACTAGATTGATAAATGAATAATGGTGGAATTATTTTTTATACAATTTCACGGGATTATAGAAATTGTATCAATTGATTTTCCTACGGACG